AAAGCACTATTCACTTGTGTGGTACATACTAAACGCAGAGATTATCCCCCAAAATTAACAAAATAAAGGGTTGATTAAATACCTTTGCATGGAACAAAAATTACCTGTAGTACCAGCAGGTGTTATTTCCCTCAAAAATTCAAACACATCAAGTCGGTTCATTTCTTTAGCAACTCTAGCCAAGTTGCGTAGAAGACACTTAGTCCCAGGCTGCGGAATTTGCAGTGATTCCTGTTCTAAGTGAAGAATGTCTAGTAGTCGAGCTATAACATCCTTTGCCTCAATGTTTCTTGATAAAAGACTTCTTAGCAGCTCACCTGGGAGGGCAACGGCGCTCTCTTCAACTTCTGGAACACAAATTTTGTTTGGCAAAGCAGTTAATGAAGAGATATACGTTCCACGAGACTGGAAGAAATGATTAGATTGATTAATAATTCTCATCGTCTTTTTGAAATAATAATTTTGAAGTGGAGTTGTAGCAAACGTTACCAATGTTTGTTATCACTTCTGCTGCATCTTTTGTTCGAACACAAAAATAGAACCTTCGGGTAGCCAGGACGGCGACTGTCCTGATCAATCGGATTATGTCAAAGGGATACGGAGCTATTCTTACAAGCAAGTTGACAAATTAAGATTAGTTTTCAAGGCGATAGCTTGCATAAGCTATCTTAGACGTCACAGTACACAGTTACTTAACTTCGAATATGGTTTCCACTGAACATTGACCAACATTATATGGTATGCATTAACAGATGACTGAACCACAGACAAAGGAAGTCAAAATGCTTCATTAATTTAGCTTTCATTCATTAGCGAGTGTATTTTGTAAGTAATGTTATCCTTATAATTAATTCATTTGTAATTAATTTTACACGACCCCACAAGCTTTGAGCTTTAAATCTTATCGTGTTTAAGTAAAGGATATGTATGTATGTATGCGTGTATGTATCTATGTATTTACTTTTGAAACGGTAAAAATAAAGCATTGCAACTCATTTAGGTAACGTGTTTGTGCTTGATATATTATCATAAGCTTCTGATATTACAAGTAGTATTCTACACTCATTTAATGAACAGATAGTACTCAACTGTAATAATAATGGCATACCTTCCACGAGTGTCCTAGGTCTTCCAACCTAATATTGACAGACAAACATCGTAAAAATATGCAAATATTTTCTGTTCTCCTTTTAGAAAGAGCTTCATGGTCTCTATCATAGTTACTTACTGAAGCAAATAAACTAAGGCAGTTGCCAAAATGAAGCCAGAAAAAATAGGTTTGGACGGGATTCGAT